TGTGTGTGTGTGTGTGTGTGTGTGTGTGTGTGTGTGTGTGTGTTCAGGAGGACTCCAAGGTGCTTACCATAGCCATGTGTGCCCACTCCCTGTCTGTCCTACCTTCTGTCTCCCTTCTGCTCTTCCTCCACCTTCTCTTCCCATCAGTGGGAGAGGAAACCCCTCAGTAGTTGGCAAGACTCTTGCAGCTACAGGTGTGTTAGGGCCAGGCCTAGCAGGTACCTATCAGGAGGAGAGGATAAGAAGTCAGCATGTGATTGCAGGTAGAGCTCCATGCCTTCTGAGCCCCTTCCCAACACCAGGACTCCCTGCTTCCAAGGAGGCGATCTTCTCTACCTCTCACCATTAGTATTTCGTGTGTGAAGCAACTGCCACATGGCCCTTAAAATCAACTGCAAATGAAATGGGCAGAAGGTCAGGCCACCATGAATCCCCAAGAATATAGGCTGGGATAAGCAGCTGAAATTTTTGCCTAGAGCAATGCAGAGGCTGGGCAAGGGACAATGGCCCCAGAGAACAGAGAGATAAAAGGGGTGTCAAAGACAAGCTGGCATCTTCCCCAGAAGCCTGAGATGGGAGAGGAGATTATGTCCAGCAGTCTTCCCTGCAGCCCTCACCTCCTGCTCCCTCCCTGACCTTATGGCTCACATCAAAGTGAGGACCTCTTCCCCTAGCTCCACAGCCTAAATAGGTCCAGGGCATCACTCTCAGCTCCTAGGAGCTGCTGATGGACAGATGGTAATAGCTCCCAGAGTGCTGAAAGAGGACGTGGACTCTGGGGCAGAGCTGGCCCCTGCCAGGCTGTGTGTTGGGAAGGCTGCTGACCCCACTGTCCCTTTCCTGGACCCTCACAGCTTCCCAGGACAGTCATGTTAAGGGGGGAAGGGGATGAGCAAGTGACACTGATGCTGGGCTCCAGACTCCACGGATGCAGGTGGGAAGTGAAGAGGCCTGAGTGAACTGAGGGCTCCCAATGCCTGTCAGATGGGCTTCAGGAGCAACAGAGGATCCTGCAGGCAGAAGCTGGGAGGGTGGGAGAGAGGGCACCAAGGCTGCCTTGGAGGAGTTTCCCCGCTCAAGAGCAGTGGAGGAGGAAGAGAAAAAAATGCATCCTGGAACAGAAGCTTGCAAACTTGTCACCCTTATTTTCTCCCCATTATTTATTGAATAATAATTCATCTACCCATTTTTATGTAGTCCAAATAATACTATCAACTGGTTCATCTGATCAACAAAGAAAGCATCTCATTACAACACTGAGCCCCAATTAAATCAGCCAAGAACTAGGGAGGCTGACATTTTTAACGAAGTTGCACACCCCTGAGTGGGCAAATGTGTGTTCCTCTAAGGCTTCTGATAGTCAAGAACAGCTTGATGACACTTTTCACATTTCTGTAGAATGAGCCTGTGGTGCTTTTATAACTGACTGTGTATCAATCAAATTCTATTTTAAATTCACTCAAGAACCTACAACATGGCTTCCCCCAACTACTTTACCCTCCACCAAGGGCAGAAAAATCCAGGTTTGAGCTCAATCAAAAAAGGGCCTGATCAATATGCACAGCCCTGGAGCAGCCAAAGTCAGGTTTATCAAGAGGTTAGAGGAAGCCAGAGAATGACTCTTATGGAGGGATTTTTCTTTTCCTGTTACTGAGGATTGAATTTAGGGCCTTAGCACTAAGCTATATTCTCAGTCTCCGCCCCGCCCCCCCCTTTTAAACTTTTTATTTTTTAAGCAATTTCTGGCTAAGTCACTAAGTAACCCGAGGTGAATTCCATGCTTGATAGTTGTTTAAAACCTGTTTCTTGGTTTTAGGGCAGCTCAAGCTTGAAAGAGGCAGACTCTGAGGGACTGCTGTCATCTGGTGGTAAACCTAGAAAATGCAGTCAAAATACTGTAAAAAAAAAAATACTGTAAAAAAAAGAAATCATACCTTATGAAATTATATTCTATCCATTGTGAACTTTAAAAATGTCACTTTACAAAAAAAAATTATGGAGAAAAGAACAGTCTTTTCAACAAATGGTTCTTAAATGAGTGGCTACCCAGACACCTTCCTTATACTATATATAGAAGAAATCAATTCAAAATGAATTATAGACCTAAATGTAAGAGCTAAAGCTAGAAAAGTCTTATAATAAAATATAGGATTAAATTTCCATGACTTTAGATAGTCAATGGTTTCTTAGACTTGACAACAAAAACACAGCAACAAAAAAAAATAAGTAGGACTACAATGAAACTAAAAATGTTATGATGCAAATGATATTATCAGGAAAGTAAAGACAAGCAACAAGAGGGAAAAATATTTACAAATCATATATCTGACATATAACTATTATCCAGAATATATAAAGAACTTTTATGACTTGATAACTAAAGACAAAATCAATTTAAAATGGACAAAGAATTTGAATAGACATTTCTTCAAATAAGATATATAAGTGGTCAACAAACACACAAAAAGGTGCCCAACATCATTAACCATCACTGAATAACAAATCAAAACCACAATGAGAAACCACTTCACACACACATGGATGGCTACAATCAGAAAGTCAGGTAATAACAGGTGTTGGGGAGAAATTGGAACCCTCACTGTTGCTGAGAATATAAAATGGTGCAACCAGTTTGGAAAACAGGATGGTGGTTCTACAAAGTGTTAAACAGAGTTGCCATGTGTCACAGCAGTTTCATACCTACCTGTGCACCCAAGAGAAATTAAAGCATACATCCACCTAAAAACTCACAAATGAATGTTCACAGCAGCAGTCAAACAGTGGAAACAACCATCAGCTGATGAATAGATAAAATTTGCTATGACTGCATTTGAATATTTTTCATAATAAAAAGAAATATATGTTACAACATGGATGAACTTCAAAAACATTATGCTAAGTGGAAGAAGCCAGTCACAATAGACTACATGTTGTATGCTTCTATTTATGACATCCAGAATAGGCAAAGCCATAAAAACAGAAAATAGATTGGTAGCTGGCTGTGACTGGATGTCTGTGGGAAAACAGTGGTGGCAAACCCATGGCATGATGCCACAGCAGGTTGTTTGTTATCATTGAAGGCTCTAAAAGGTTCACCATCACTGGAATAGGGAGTGATTGTTAAATGAGTATGGGATTTCTTTTTATGGGGATGAAAATATTCTGCCATTAGATCATGGTGATGTGTCCAATTCTGCAAATATACTAATACCAATGGATATACTTTTAAATGAATGAGGTTTATGATACATGAATTATACTTCAATAAAGATATTTGTTAAATGGCAAGTTAGTATGTTTCAAACTATTACACTGACTTGAGTCTTCTGTCAGGAACTCTTCTGGAAACTTGAATATGAATTATTTCTTTTAATCCTTAGGATATCTGGCTAATATGGGTACTATTATTATACTCATTTTGCAGGTGAGCCTCAAACAAGTTAAATGAACAATCCACAGCCCTAGCAAATAAAGCAGCATAGCTATGATTTGAACTCAAGACTGCTTGGCTCCAGAACCTTAGCTTCTCTCAGGGGTAGGCCTGACCCTCTGATTCTCAGTGCCTTTGCAAGGGTTTTCAGGTGTGGGGCTTGGGGTCCGAGGACACAAAGATGAAAACCATGGTGCCAGCCTGCAAGAAGCTCACAGGCCAGGAGGAGGCCATATAATTATAGGAAGTGACTGAGACGTGAAGCGGTTAAGTGCCGAGTAATAAAGATGGTGGCATGCTCCCAGCACCAGGGTAATGAGCATCCTCTGTCCTCTGTGACTGCATGAAGGTGTGACAACAGCTGTGTGGGGTTGGAAAGGCAGCTTCCGAACGCATCCATCCCTCACTTACTGCCAAATCACCTCCCACTCTGCTGCTCAAACAGACCTTGGGGAGTTGTCCTTGGTTCTCTTCCTCATCTCTTCTCAATCCACTCTCAGTTCTGCCCTTGGCAACCCCAAGTTGTATTTCAAACCTCTCTACTACTGCATGCTCCACCCTAACCCAGGCCATCATCACTTGTGTTGGAGTACTGTGTCTGCCTCTTCGCTGGTCTCCTGCCTCCTGTGTTTACCGTCACAAAGCATTTGTAACTTTCCACTGAAGAGTTCCATAGAGTGGGCTAAGGGGAGCCAACAGCCCAGTAGGTGTGAAGCAGCTGAGTTAGAGAGAAGGGATGTGAATAGTGTGGGTTCAGGAGTATGGAGACACATCTGGGATGTGAGTACATGTGTATATACAAATCATGAAAATACCAGAGAAAGAACTTCAGCTTACTATGTAACCATATTAGGTCCGTTCCCTGCTAAGGCCAGTAGAAGTAAGAATGTGCCTAGTCAGGTGTGAGGAAAAGGGTGAAAAGAAATGGCCCAAGGCTTCTCACCTAAAAGGACCCCAAGGCTTCAGCTGATGAGGGCATCTATGCAGCATGCCATGAAAGCTGGTCACTCAAAAGGCAGCAAGGTGAAAAATCCCTAATAGGACATGAAGAGAAGACTAAATGAACTGGAGATGGAGAAGAGAAATGGAGTGTTGTATAATAAAGAACTCTCCTGGGAGGGAGCCTCTAAATCCTTAGGGTTTTCCAAGTGATAGGTGCATCTTTGTTATTCATGATGCCTCTGATGGTTCATGCTACTAGGGCCCCTAATACCTTCCAGAGGGAGTTAGCATGCCAAGACCAATCATATGAATAGAGAGTTGAGGCCTGAGCCACTAGGGACAAGGCAGGCTGAAAACTGAGTTCAGTTACAGTGGCCAATACTCAATCATGATTACATAATGAAACCCCAATAAAAATTCTAGACACCAAAGCTTGGGTGACCTCCCTGGCTGGTGATGCCCATCCATGTTGGGAGAATGATATGCCCTGGTTTCTCAGGGAGAAGACACAGCACATGCTTAGGACTTCCCAGACCTCACCCTGTGCATCTCTTCTTTTGGCTGGACCTGCTTTGTATCATTTTGTTGCTATAATAAAACTGTAGTCATAAGCTTAGCACTTTACTGACCTCTGGAATCATTCTACTGGATGATCACACCTGAGGGAACTTCTGAACTTTAAGAACTTCTGAATTTGTAGCCAGTTGATCAGAAGAGTAAGAGAATAGAGAACTCAGACCTGCCAAGTAGAATCTGAAGTGAGGATGGTCCTTAGAAGGATGTGCTCTTAGCTTGTGACATCTGGCCTAAATCTGGGTAGCTGGTGTTGGAATCACACTGCATTGAGCAAGCAGACTTTGCACCCCACTGGAGGAAACACTACTTACATCCACACAGTGCACTCTGCATAAGCACAGATGGGCAAGTTTCTGCACATCCTCTACCCCTTCTGCCTAAAAGCAGGCCAGATAGCCAAAGGCAGCAGGTTTAGGGGGCCAGGGATTTAGCTCAGTGGTTCTGCTGCTTGCCTCGAAAGCTCAAGGTCCCAAGTTCCATCCCTGGTACCAAAAGAAAAGAAAACAGTGATGCTAATGCTCAGTAGAGATTGCAGGATTAAAGAGGGAAGTGAATTTTAAAAGAAGGGATTTAGAGTGAACTGGGGTGGACTTAGTGACTGTTCTGGTTTATATCTAGATATTCCCCCAAAGCCTCATGTGCTTCTAGGCAGGGCTTCTGAAGGGTGATTGGGTTATGGGGGCAATATAACTGACTTGCTGTTAGGAGGCAGGGTCTGCCTAGTCAAAAGAGGCAGGTCACTGGGGGTGTGATCTCCTCCTGACTCCTCCCTTCACTCTCTACTTCTTGTCTGCCATGCTTTAAGCAGCACTGTTCTGGCATGCCATCCTGCCTTGGAGCCAGCTGACTATGGACTAAAATATGATAAAGACCAGGCTCAAGAGGTTTCAGATGGGAACAAGGACTCCATTGGCAATTGGACTTGAGACCATGTGTATTATGGTCTAGCAGAAAATTTTTCACATTTTGCTCATGTCCTGAGATTTTCTGGGAGACTGAGATTAAGGACAGAGGACTAATTCATCGGGCAGAGGAAATTTCAAGGCAGCCCAATGTTGGGGCTGTGGCATGAATACTGTTGGAGGCTTTTAGCCAAGTTTATACTGAAAATCAAGAGCAAAAGGCCCATTTTAAATTTTCTGTTTTGCCAGAAAAGACATCTACAAAGAGGTAGAGGTGAGCTTGGTTGCTGAAAAGATTAACATTAAAAAGAAGCCAAGTACTTTGGATCAGGACAATAGGAAAAGACAGTTTAAGAGCATGTCAGGAATCAGCAAGGCCCCACTCTCTGCAGGCTCAAACTTGCAAAAGTGAGACTTTGCTTTAAGAGAGCCCCAGGGCATCATGCTCCATGACAGTGCAGCAGGCTAGAGAATTTGTTCCCCAGGATTTGGTTGACAGTGCTCAGACATTCAGAGGCCTCCGGAGCAATGGCCCAAAAAGGCCTAGCTACTGCTCAAGCTGGCAGCTGACCCTTGGCATCATCTACATGGTGCTTGTGGGGTCAGGAAGACTTCCACCCAGACTTCTGAAGGTTTGGAAGGCCAGGGAGTGTGACCCTGAGAGGGCAGAGTGTGAAGGTGTGAGAGTAAAACCAAAAGCACAGTGGAGACCCCAGGAACTTGGAGAAGCCAGGAACATGGGATGTCTGAGCAAAGCCAGCCCAAGGGAGAAACCATGAGAGCTAAAATACCAGCAATGCTATAGGGGCAGGGCCACCCAAGCCCTTTAAAGTTCACATCTCATAGCCACAACTTGCCATGGGTGCTGGACAGAGCTACAGGATTTAATGTTTGCCCTACTGGGTTTCAGTTTTGCTTTGTTCCCATTGCTTTCTATCCCCTATTCCCTTTTGAAATGGGAATGTTTATCCTGTAGCATTCTATGCTAGAAGTTTTTAACTTTCTTTTGCTGTTTACAGAGGCTCAGAGTTAAGAGTTTGCTTTGAGTCTCAGAGACTTTGGTCCTGGCATTTTCAGCAGTGCTGAAAATGTTAAAATGTTAGTAACTCTTAGAAATGGACTAAGTGCATTTTGCACATAGATGTGCACGAACATTTGAGGGGCCGGGCTGGAATGCTATGTTTATATCTAGATGTCCCCCAAAGCCTCATGCACACATAGGTGAGGCCTTTGAAAGGTGACTGGATCATGTGGCAATATAGCTGGCTTGCAGTTAGGAGGTAGGTTCTGGTTGGAGGAGGCAAGTTACTGTGGGTGTGACCCGGAAGGATTTATGTAGAAAACAGCCTACAAGCTGAGCTCGAACCTGACCAAGCGGTGATGAAGATGAAAAATACACAGAAACAGGTTATAATTTGGGGGGTCAGAGGGCTCATGGCTCCCTTCGACACAGAGCGCCAAATGACTGGCACACCTTGGCTTTATTCACTCAGACACAGGCACAAGCAATTAAGAGTTCCACAGGATTTATCTGTCTCCCACCCTCCACAGTAAGGGCAAACAACTTAACCTCAGGTCTTTTTACTTTTCTCTGCAGCACGTTAGCACCCTTGTATGTGCTCTTTTTCCTCAATGCCAGCTGAGGAGGCCAATTAGGCCTCATTCTTCCCATCTGACCTCCACAGGTTTACTGCCCGCCCCAGCTCCTTCCTTTACTCTCTGCTTCTTGTCTGTCATATCGTGAGCAGCTCTCCCCCAGCATGTGCCTCTGCCATGCCATTTTACCTCAGAGCCAGGTGACTGTGGACTGAAATGTGAGCCAAAATAAACTTTTCCTTCTTTAAGTTGTGGGTGTCAGGTATTGTGTCTCAGTGACGAACAAGGTAACAAAGATAGTGACTAACTAGATCTGGGGGCACGTGCAAGGGAGAAGAGGGGTGATATCCAGGGTGCCAGTGATAGCATTTAACTAAGACAGGTGACAGAAGAGGAGGAACAGTCCTGGAGAGAAGTGAAAAGCACTTTGGCCATGATGCAGGGAACCCACTGGGAAGCTCCCAAGGAGAGATAACCACAAGCAGATGTTCATCTAGAGCTCAAGGGGAGATCAAGGTCAGAGACAGAGTCAGATGCACACAGGCAGAGGTCTCTAAGTTGACCCAGCTCTGCCACGAGGTCACCTGCGATGTGGCAAGATGCAAAGATGAAGCTCTGTGCCTACACAGTAGGAACCTTCAAGGAGCCTGACAGATCAAATGAGGAGACATGAAAGAGTTCATGGAAACAAAGTGAGTGAGGAGCCCAGGGTGGGAGAAATCCAGTTATCAAACATGAAAACATGTGTGATCTGAAGACCAAGAAAGCTCTTTATGGGTCTAAACTGGGCATGTGGAGCCTGGAAAACACCTGTCTAGGAAGTGAGATGCTGCTCCCAGAGGGTGCCTGGGTTAGCTCCCCTCCAGCTTCGTGAGTATAAGCACTTACCAGAGGTACACAGACATTTCAGAAAGAGCTAAAAATAAAAGCCCCATATGGGCAACAAACCGCTCTTTTTCCTTATAAGCCTTTACAGTATTTTTAAATCACATGCATGTAGAAATTTGGTAACAAATCTTAAGAAAAACCATTTTCAGGGCCAGGGATTTAGCTCAGTGGTTTCACCGCCTGCTGTGTAAGTGCAAGGACCCGAGTTCGATCCCCGGTACCAAAAAAAAAAAACCCATTTTCTTATCCTACTTATATGACTTAGTACTACATCAACTCTTTTAATGGGCTGTAATTGATATTTCAAAATAGGTGGAGTTCATTTAGGCACGTTCCAAGCTCCTTTGCCCTGTATCCTCAGTGTCCCAGGTCACACCAACCTGGGGTACAATTCCTTAGATTACTTGCAATGATCAAAGATAACTGTACCCAGCAGCAACCATTGCTCAGGCAGTCCAGCCCAGGATGCAGCAAAAAAATATTTAATCCTTTTTTTTAGGCCTAATAAAACAGAAAAACATCATCCCTTACTCCTACCAAACCACCACAATGCTATGCAGGCAGCTCCACCTCTTTCTAGCCAGTCCCTAGCCCCAGTCCTCCCTGGATCCATCCCACAGCATGGGGGCTACTTCCTGGGCCCTGGAGGTAGTTACCTGAGTACCTGAGATTTCTCTGAACTACCACTACACCAGAAGCTCTCTTCATCTGTCTCCCTAAATCAAAGTCAATTAATATTTCCTAGGTGCCACAGTCTTGTCCTTTTATCTTGAGAAGCATGATTTACTAGAGATAGGAACAACAACCAAAGTACAGCCTGTGGGCTGAATAGAGCCCACCACGTTTCTGTATGATCTGTGGTTACTGAATCTAAGTGTTTTAGTTACTTTTTCTCATTGCTGAGACGAAATACCCGACACCCAAAGTTAAAGGAAGGAAGGTTTCTTTAGCTCACAGTTTGTAGAGATATCAGTCCCTAGTTGGCTAGTCCTAAGGCAGGGTGGCATGGCAGAGGGGCATCCAGAGGAGAAATAGTTCATGGCTGGAACAAGATAGCAAAGCAACCAAGTAGCAAAGAAGCAAGTCCAAGCCACCTTAGCAGCTTCTTCCTGCTTCTTTTATTCTATCTAGGCTACCAGGCTTAGGGCAAGTGCCAAACCAATCAGTGGACTGATTTAGTAATCACACACCCTTGATCTTGGCAACACATTTAGATCCAGCCACTTCTAAAAGGCCCCCCTAATGACTGCACAGGGCTTTGAGGGGACATCTAGATACAAGCCGTAACACCAAGTCTGTTTACTTCACTGCTCAAAAAGGGGCCCAATGAATTGAGGACAAATTGTTGGCACAAGGAAAAAGTAACTCAGAATGCCAGCAAAATGAGATGGCGGACTACTGCCAACAAAGACCATCTTAACTCAGCCTAAGTTTCAAGCCCCTTTCACTCAAAGGGGAAAGAGAGGCTTAGGTTCTGAAAGGACTGATAACTGGAGACTTCTAGGTGACCTTCCAGAGACCCGGAATAGGAAGTAAGGAAACCTGGCAGTAGGTTCGGAGGAAATCCCCAAGGTCCTGATGGTCTGTAAATCTTGAAAATATCTTAGTTACTCTTATCTTGCTGTCTTCAGCCTTGAAAGGGGAGAAGAGACTAAGTTGAGGGTAAACCAGTCTTGTACTATCAAGTCCTGGATAAACACTTCTTCAGGGACCAACACATCTACATGCAGAGTTGAGCAGAAATCTCCCCAAATGTGAAAGCAGCAAAGGAGATGGATACAACATGAAAGAGATGCCAAGCCCTTTCACTGTTTTAGTCACCATCCGATACTTTCACAGGCCAACTTCAAGAGTCAGTGCTTGCAGCAAAAATGTCCTTCAAGCCCCTGAAGTCACCTAGGCTTCTGTTATCATCAAAGGCATCGAAGTTGATGGGGGACTAATCACATGCTGCTCAGTAGCATGACCTCTGAAATTAGTGTCTTAAAGTCAGCTTAAAATGAAGCTAGAGCATTTACATAGGTTGTTCCCTCAGTTGCACTATGAATGAAGAAATGGTCTTTACATTTTATAAATGGTTGGGGAGATCAGAGTAATACTACTTGGTGTTACAAACAGAACTGTGCTCTCACCCCCAAAGTTTTTTTTTTTTTTGTATTGGAGATCGAACTTGGGTCCTTGCATTTGCACAGCAGGCCGCGAAACCACTGAACTAAATCCCTGGTCCCCCCCAAATTCTTATGTTAAATAAAACTTTTAAAAAGAAAAAATTTTATATGTTAAAGGCCCTAATGTGACTTGGAGACAGGGCCTATAAGGAGATTATTAAGGTCAAATGAGATCACAATGGTAGGGCCCTGAGCCAGTCTGGCTAGTGGGTATAAAAGGAAGAGCAACCAGGGATGCACATGCACAGAAAAACTCCTGATAAGGACACAGTGGGTGGCCATCTGCAACCCAGGGAGACCTCAAGAAAAACCAGACTTGGTCAGGTGTGATGGCCCAAGCCTGTAATCCCAGAACTTGGGAGCTTGAAACAGGAGGCCTGCCATAAGCTCAAGACCAGCCTGAACTATGTAATGAGTCTCAAAAAAAAAAAGAAACACCAGACCTTCCCCCTGCCCACACCCTGATCTTAGACTTCCAGCCTCCAGAATGGTGAAAAATGGCAGCTTGAGCTAATACACTTAATGACATGAAAATTGTATGAACTACATATTGCAGAATCCATTAACAAAATTGCCTTGGGACAGTCTTGCTCAGTGATATACATCCTATTTTCATTCTAAATGGCACAGGTGTGACAGGGGCTGCAAAGTCCAATATTTGCTACGTGGCTATTTAGACAATGCCTGCCGACCCCTGCCCTAAGCATCTTGAAGAGTGATCTTTTTTTTTTTTTTTAAACACTAGGGATCAAACTCGGGGCCTCTGGACTGAGCTACATCCCCAACCCTTTTTTATTTTTTATTTTGAGACAGCTCTGGCTAAGTCATTAGCTTACCTAGGCTAGGCTCGAACTTCAATTCTGCCTTTGCCTCCCGAGTACTGGCATTACACCTGGCTGAGTGCTCACTTTTTTGGGTTTTTTTTTTTTGGTACCAGGGATCAAACTCGGGTCCTTGCACTTGCGAGGCAGGCGGTGGAACCACTGAGCTAAATCCTCGCCCCTGAGTGCTCACTTTTTAACATCAGTGTTTTGCTCACTTCTGCATCAAGCAGTATTTGGCACACAGTGGGTTCCTTTATCCTTCCCACCAGGCTTGAAGCCCAAACAGAGCAGGTCCTAACCCTGGTGCCAAGTGGTCTAGGTTAGTAAGTAGACCCTACCCCTTGCCATCCCTACACATTCACAGCAGTCATCCCTGGGCGCCCCAAAACTAGGTCTGGTCCTGGACGTTATCTGTTACACATCTGAATGCAGACCTCTCTGACTGGGGATGACGGGCCACGGGGATATCCTCCCCACCGATGCTGAGATGGCAACTGATTACATGTAGATTACATAACCTAGTATGTGAGTTTATGTTCTATTCAATTTTAAAAGACGTATTTCATATTTATAAATAAAAATTACTTCAAATGTAGCTATTTTTTTAAAGCTGCCTTTTGACCAAAAACATATCAGAATAGTTCAGCCTATTTGGATTAACTAAAATCATATAGCCTATCCTATGATTCAAACCACCCCTAAATCCTCTGTTAGGGTTAAGTTTGCTGTTCTGGCCTTTAGGCAACCCATGACTCAGTGGACACAGAAGGCGGCTCTTTGGGGTGTATGTGTGCATGAAAATGCTGAATTTGGCTTCAAAGAGGTCTGGGAAGGTGCTGAAGAGCAGACATCTGCTCATCTCCAGTGTGAAGACCTAATATCCCAGGGTAGCTTAGGAATTCTCCACACACCAAAAGTCACCAGTTTGGTAGCTCCCAGCTCAGCAACCAACACAAAACCTAGCACTGAGGAGCTTGCAACGGGGATATGTTCCAAGACCCCCAGTGGATGCTTAAAACCACAGATATGATTTATACGTACTGTTTTCCTATGGAAAGGATTGCATGATCTGTATTTTTTGGTTTTTTCCAGTACCAGGGATCGAACTCAGGACCCATGATCTGTGTTTAACTGTTATGCTTCTTCCAACTACATTGGACCCTCAAGTTTTGACCAGCCTGACATGCGAACAACTTGGGTCACAACCAGAATTTTAGTTTTAACTTACAACCAAAGTCTTGAGTTATGACTCAAAAGCTGGACATTTTGCATGGAGATGGGTCTCAGATACAGATTTAACCCTTAAGAGTTCTGGAAGGAACATTACAACATCCTTTTCTGTATAGGGTTAATTGAAAATCCTGGGCCAATGCCTAAGAACACTGAGCTCTGCCTGTAAGAAAAGTGTGGCCTAAAATTATACAGGAGAGAGACTTTGAAGGCTGTGTAGAGGAGCCTGATCAATCTGAGTTACAACAGCCCTTGTAAATGAATTGAGTTTGTAAGTCAAGGGTCCACTGTATCGGTGTTTACCAGACAGCTCAAATGCTTTCCTGTTGGATGAAAACATTTCTGCCCAGAGTCTAGCTTTAGATCTCCTTTTCCAATTATTGCCCCAATATGCCTTCTCCTGGGCTCACTTCCATCTTGGCGGAGACCCTGTGTCCAGGAGACTGCCAGCAGGCTTTCCTACAGGGTGGCCAAACTCTCAGTAAATAGACATTATTCTCCATTAAAAGTCCGGAAGCAGCTGGGTCTCTTCAACTTATCCCACCTGGCTCTCCTGGCGTCTGTACCAAGTGAGACATTAGAAACGTCCATGAAACAAAGCTAAGAGTTTAGAGGCCAAACTGCCCAATAGTTTTCACTGTGCTCCCAGCGGCCTGGCTTCATTGTGTTCATTTTCATTTTGATTTGGCATCTCTAAACCCAAGCGGTGCAGGGAATGTACAAAGAAGTGAGGAAGTCTGCAGACCAACTGGAGTTCCTCCTTCCTGGACCCCAGGGGAGGCAGGATCAGCTGCCGGGCATGCAGGTGGAGGGGGATGTAGCGAGCCTTTGACTGTTTCAGTCCCAGGTTCTTCAGGGTGCCAATAGGAAGCTTCTACACAAAGAAAAGACAGACCCTTGAAGGCAAGCCCAATGATCCACGCTTCAGCACACAAACATCTTGAAAGACCCAGTAATGGAGAGCCTGCTTCAGGGACACATCTAGGAAGGGTTTGGAACCCAGGAAAAAACAACCATAGCAAAGAAGCTCTTTATTGGCCGATGCTCTGGCCTTTCAGGAGAAACGGTTGAAATATCAAAGGATAAAAAAAGATTCCACCATGGTTCATAGAGTAGCATGAAAGGTGGCTTTAAGTTTCAGAAAGATTAGCTCCCTAACAAAATCTAAGACCAAACACATGAAGCAGTAAAGCTTTGTTAGGAGATTCTGCAGTCCATGAGGATGATAATTAACTGCTTCTGAATTCCCAAAAGCTAGATTACCAGTATTATACCATATTTGGAGTCAATCCTATTTGTTATGACTCACTTGAGGGTGAGTCATTTTGTTTAATGAAATGAAATCACAGGCTCTCTCCCTTACTCTGATGCACACTGGGTTATTACTTGTATACCAGTATTACCTGGGGAGCCAACCTATTCCAGTCTGAGTACTTGTGATCACCAAGGACTGGACAATCCAATCCAAAAGACAGGTGAACTCGAAGCTGATGTTTTATTCCTTAAGAAACAGAGAGAAAAAAACCTTATGAAATTAATGTTCTTTTGTACATATCTGCCACATTTTGTCTCTCTGTTCATCCCTCAAAGGACATTTGTGTTGTCTCCACCTTTTGGCTATTGTGACTAATGCTGCTGTGAACTCAGGTGTGCAAATATCTGTTTTTAATTCTTTTGGATATAATATAAGCAGATTTGCTGGATCAAAAGGTAATTTTTAAAGGAATTGCTGTGTACATTTTAAAATAAAGGTATTCCAACTGCTATCCACAATCATCCCTCTGGAGCATCCCTCGGATCAGCACATGGTTACCATGGTTACCGGAGTACTTCGCACCCTCAGCCCACTCACAGGCCAGAGCTCAGAACAAGGGCAGAGGCCAGCATGAGGTCCTGGACAGTGTGGAAACCACCTTACTGTAGATTGCGGACACCCTTACCAGTAACAGGGTGGAGCTCCACGAGGGCAGAGGACACAGTGCTGCTGAGCACCTGGTACTGAGTTACAGCAATCTGGGCATTGCGGCTGGTCCGCACCTTCACCATCTTCCCATTGTCCATGCGGTAGCTCGGGCACAGTGTCATCTGAAGCCAAGTAAAATCAAGATATGACTTTTGAGGAAGGAGAGAAACCCTGGCCTCCTGGAGGCATTCACCCACCTTGTGGTGCTGCTGCTGCCCTTGCACCTCCTTCTCAATGATGGGGATATCAACGACTCCTGCCGAGGGCACGGGGACACGCACAGTGACAGCCCTAGGGGTGACATGCACACAGCTACTTTAGCCATAGAAGTCTGAGAGGATCTCCTGGGACTTGGCCATTTTAGAGGATACTAGACCTTCAGCACTAATGTGAACATTTCTTGCAATTTCTTATGCCTGTCTGTGATATGATGAGAGGTAGATTGCCAACAAAAGGTATCTGAAATGGGTTACTTAGTTGTGGCTATGGTTCCTGTGACTTCTTTCCCCATAGTTCCTTCCTCTTTTACTTACCTGGCAAGTAGGACAGGACTGGTCCTGTGTTTCACTGGGTTCATTCATTCATTTGTTTGTTCATTCATTTAGTATATGATCAGAACCCACTATCTTTTATTATTTTAAAAAGATGCCTAGTGTGGTGCACATGCCTCCCAGCAATAAGGAGGCTGAGGCAGGAGGACGACCACAAGTTCGAGGCCAGCCTAGGTTACACAGTGAGTTCAAGGTTGCCCTGAACTACATAGTGAAACCTTGTCTCAAAAAACCAAAAATAAAAGATACAAAAACATGTCATCCTAATTTTCTTTTAATTATGTATCTATCATTGTTTTCTTTTGCCCCTAAATATTCTACAATTCACAAGCATGCTTTTAGAAGTAAAAGAGAGGCTTATAGGAAATAGCCAGCTCTCAGACTAAGCATTAAACCAAGAAAATCATGAGGACTGTGGAGGACTGTTATAATTTATATCTAGATATCCCCCTAAAACCTCATATGCTTATAGGTGGAGCCTCTGGGAGGTGACTGGATCATAGGGGTGTGACACTCATCAGTAGATTAGTCCACTGATGAGTTTATAGCTAAATGTGATGTTGGGAGGGGAAGCCTGCTGGGAGGAAATCACTGGGGGCATGGCCTAGAAGGGTCTGTCTCCCTCCCACCCTCGATTGCACTCTACTTCATATGCCATAAGCTCTTTCCCCTCTGCCATGCCCCTCTGCCATGCTGCTCTGCCTTGGAGCCAGTTGACTATGGACTGAAACCTCTACAAACTATAAGCCAAAATTTGCAGGTGATGAGTATTTTGTCTCAGTGACAAGAAAAAACTAAGACAGGGACCCTCTGATCATAATCTGCTATAGTGGTTCTTAAATTTGACTGTACATCCTAATCATTTGTGGACCCTTTTGGTGGCACTAGGACCAAACCCAGGCCTCACATATGCTAAACATTTGTTCTACCACAGGGCTACATTCCCAATCCCCATTTGTAGAGCTTTTGAAAAATACAGATGCCAGGCAGGCCTGAAATCCCAGCACTTGGGAGGGTGAGGCAGGAGGACTGCTGTGAGTCCAAGGCCAGCCTGCACTATATAGTGAGACCTTGTCTTGGGGGTGGGGGGAAAGAAAAAAAAAAAAAAATATATATATATATATATATACACACACACACATATACATACACATATATGGAGAGAGAGAGAGAGAAAGAGGCCAATCTCCACAGCCACCAGTTATAAATCAGAATCTGCGGGTGGGTCTTAAGCATATAGATTTTTAAAGGGCTCCACAGATCACAAAGTACCTATAAAATCTGTAAAACAAAGAGGACTAACATCTAAAATATAAATATTTATGAATTAAATTGAAAATAATAATACAAGAGAAAACTAGATAAAAGGTAAAATAAACGCTTCAACCCAGCAATTCCACCGGTAAGAATTTACACTAAAAAAACTGCTATTGGACTGGGAATTTAGCTCAGTGGTGCTGCACCTGCCTTGAAAGTGCAAGGTCCTGAGTTCAATTCCCAGCACCGGAAAATAAAAAAATAAAAATACTGCCATTTTGGATGGTTTAGATGTAGTTTATTCCTGCAGAAACTCATGTTGACGTTGAATTGCCATTGTGTTGGTGTGGGAGGCAGGACCTTTACGAGGTTACTAAGCTGTTAAGAGGGGTGAATGCTGCCCTGGTGCAACTGGCCTAATTCTCAAAGGAATGAGCTCTGGCTTGAGGGACTCAATCATTACGACATAAACAGGCTGTTATAAAAGCAAGGCTGGGCCCGGGGATTTAGCTCAGTGGTTTTGCCGCCTGCTGCGCAAGCGTAAGGACCCAAGTTCGATCCCCAGTACCAAAAAAAAAACAACTTAAAAAAATAAACAAATAAAAGCAAGGCTGCCTCTCCTGCTTCTCTTCTGCCCTTGCCCTTCTACTTTCTGCCCTGAGTGGAAGCAACACAAAGTCCTTGACAGCTTCACACTCTTGGGACTTCCATCCTCCAGAGCTGTCAGCCAAAATAAACTTCTTTCCCTTCATAAATTATGTAGGCTCAGGTATTATCACAACAGAAAATGGACTAAGACAAATATAGTCACACATTCTTTGCCATAGGTTCTGAAAAGTGAGAAATTAGCTAAACATCCATCTGTATAGTACCACAGAGCTACAAGGAGACATTTCTAAATGTACTACACAAAACACTCTCCAAAATATATGATCCATGCAAAAGCAGCACAGTATAAAGCAGTAAATGAAATATGCAGTCATACAATAATATGATTCCAGTATAACCCTAGAAATATACGTAAGACACTGGTAACAGTGATTGCCTCTGAGGAAGGGAACTGCACAGATGCAGAACAAAGAGTTTCTTTTTGACTCTACTATTTTTTAAAAAACTGATGTAGATCTATATGCACTACCATAGAAAGATTCCTAAGACACAGAGTTAAGTGCAGGGAGAAAGGAGAAGTAGAATGTAAACTGCATAATGTATTTTACAGATAGAGAACTGGCTTTGAAGTTAAACATTCTTGGGCTCCACTCTTTGTACTCTCCTAACTAGCTGTTTGATTTTGGACAGATTACTTGTGTGTGTGTCTGTCTGTGTTTAGATACACAGATACTGTATTAGATGCGTGTAAATGAATTAAGGACTACATAGGTAAAAAACAAACTGCTTACAGTGGTTGCTACCTCAAAAGGAGGAACTAGAATGGGGAGTGGGTAGATTCTCCAGGGGCTTTTTGCTTAATCTTTATTATTTGATTATTTTAGCATAGGAATGAAATCATATATTTCTTGTCTAACTAATTTTGAAAATTCTGCTGTACAGCCATAATTAAGAATGACTATTTTCTATTAATAGTTCCTGCTGTATGACAGATGAACAAATGAAAGAGATGCCTCTGTTTACACCACCTCTACTGCCATGAATGGGCCTCATACCAGTACTTCTTTTCCACTTGACGGGTTCTAAATAGCTCTTGAACTTGATGTGCTACTTCCTTCTCCCAAGCCAGCACCATTACACCTGTGGTTTCCTTGTCTAGCCGGTGACACAGATGCAAGGGCTCTGCCTTATGGCCATGAAACATCTTTGCCAGAATGGGCAATACTTCACTGATGCAGAGCTGGACTCCAGGGCCACCTAAGAGAAGAAAAAACAAGTCTGAAGTTTCCATCAAAGAACTTTCCATGGGAAATATATCTTACATATAAAATCATCAATGTTTTCTAAAGTTGTACTATTAAAGAGTGACAGGGAGGAACAATATTAGTATGCCCAGAGATCTTGCTTGCTAAAAAAGAATCAGGTCCCCAACCTAGACTACTAAGTCAGAATATGTATTTTTGGTTTTTTAGTTTTTTGTTTTTGTTTCTTTTTGGTACCAGGGATCGAACTCGGGTCCTTGCGCTTTCGAAGCAGGTGGTGAAACCACTGAGCTAAATTCCCGGCCAGAATATGTATTTTAATAACCTGCCCAACTGACTCATATGCAATTAAAGTTTGAGAAACCCTGTCCAGTGACTTTCTCCTCAGACACACTTTGCAGGACTATGAACCACCCTCTGAGGCATTAAAGAAGAGCATTTAAGAGAACTAGCTTTGGGCTGGGGACTTAGCTCTGTGGTTTCACCACCTGCTTCGAAAGCACAAGGACCCGAGTTCGATCCCCATACCAAAAAAAAAAGGAGAACTAGCTTTGAGGTTAAACATTCCTGGGCTGTACTCTTCTAACTAGCCATTTGATTTTGGACAGATTACTTACCTTTCCAAGTTTGTTTTCTCATCCATAAAAGGTAAATACTATAACTGGGAAATACTATAATCTCATTGGAAAATATTAAGATGAGAAGTTATTATGAGAATCAAAAAGTGGAAAGCACTTGGCCATGCCTGCTTTGTCTTTGTGCACAATCTTTTTCATATCTCCCCCTGAAGCATTACCTTCTTCTAGCTGAAATATTCCTTCTCCTTCTGTGACTCTTTCACAGATGTATTTTTTCTATCAGTTGTTTATGACTTAACTTCACTGTCCCTTATCATTACAACTTTTATTCAAAGATATCTGAGTTTCCATTAAATTCCAGACACTTGGATTTTGTTAGGTATACTCCAAAACTAGACCACTTTCTCTCTCTCTCCCTCTCCATCCCTCATTTTCTCTTACATATTATTTCCTCTTTCCAACTTTTATTTGTTCTTGAGCCAGAGGTCTCAATGTATTGCCCAGGCAAGCTGCAAACTCCTGATACTCAGCCTCCCAAGTAACTGAGATTATAGGCCCATGATACCATACCTGGCTTATCCTCAGTTTTGGTGGAAAATAACCTGAAGACTAACAGCACACAGTCTTTGCATTTCTCAAAAGCAATTCCTGTGGTTTGTCTGTACCCAGTGCATTCCAGGAATCACTACTGTCAGATGTTTGGAAATGGCGAGTTTTCTTTATGTCTGTCCTTGGAAATGCCTCACATAGGATAATACTCTACAAGATTTTAATTAATTTGAACGCAACAGTGTCTCTCATGTTATGCTCCAGGGTTCCCCCCAGTTATAGCAGAAAGGAGCAGCAGGTCCTTTTACCTTAACCAGAGTCCTTACCATGGACAGGGAGACCGTAGGGCTTATTGATGACCACAAGGTCCTTGTCCTGGTGGAGAATCCCTCGGCTCAGTGCCTTAGCAAGAACGTTGGGATGAACTCGTTGCAACTGCTGTGTGAACCGCACTAGTTCTTGCACCCTCCGCTGAACAGGGGTTGTGGGCACCTAGTGGGAAAGAAGGGCCGGTGGGAAATTCCTGGTGAGAAAGTGATGGAGAGCAGAGACGAAGGTCTTCATTAAGGTCTGGGTAAGAATCTGGCAACCCGGACTCATGCCTTTCTCGAGTAATTTGACAGCGCATGTAGTGTCTTAACTTGCATACGCACGCTGCGGTTAGGACTGAGCCGGCAGTGTCAAAGACTCAGCCACAGAAAGACACTGAAACCCTACTGACGTCTCCCCTCCAGGGTCTCCTCATCCTCTCACCGTATATCCCCCACTGGTAGTTACTTGCTGTCAGAGGACCCTCCTACCATACCCCCGTCTGGGAAACCACTGCCTCTTGGGAATTATGGTCCTTCCCGGCTCACCGGCTGCTTCTTCGTCTTTTGTTCCCTTTTCTGGGCTCGGAGTTTCTCCGCTAATTGTTGGGCACTCAGGGGCCTGGATGCAGCAGCGGTGGAACAAAATGGCTTTGAGTCAAGAGTAAAGAGACTCTTCAAAACCGGGCTGGTACCCCGGACCCAGAGGACAGGTGCACTATACCTGGGCGCCGCCATCTTGCCAAGGCAGGGGCGAGCCACGACCACGTGGGGCGGGGGCGGGGACCTGTGGGTCACATGGAGACAGGCGGGCTGGCCTGGTGTGTCACGTGGGCGGTGCGTGCTCAGTGCGGCTGCGCTGACCGGTAGCTGCAGCTGGAGCGGTGGCGTTTGGAGGAGACGCGGTGAGTGTGTTAGGGAAGCAGGGCTGGGGCTGGGAAATGCCGGTTCGTCGATGTTTTCCGCCTCCCCAGGATTTCCGTTCTGAGACAGCACTGCCTAGGGAAGCGATTCTTTCTACGGAACACAACCCCACTCAAAAACATCTCCCCACCCCCGCGCCCTCTTAGAAGCAAAGCTACATAGACGCTCGCCCCAGAGCCTTCCCGGGCACCTGCCTAGTCCCTCTTCACAACCACGTCCTCGGTCAGTCCCCTGAGGGACTCATCGTGGCCCCTCCTGTTTCTTTATATTTAACCTCCGTTGATCCCCGGATCTCTGCCCTTTCTGCCCCTCGCCCTCCGACTTCCAGCCTCTTTGTTTCTTGTTGTAACCTGTTCTGTCCTGCCAGGGATGGTGGCCCCTTCGTTAATTCAAGCCCTTGGAATCTAATTCCTCCGTAAGGAGCACAGTTGGTCCCTTCTGTGCTTCAGCATTCTTTTCTTGGGGTCGCCCTGCTCTTGCCAAGGAAAAGGCTTCATAGTGCAGACAACAGATCCCCTTATGGTTTTGCTTTCTTTATCCCTTCTCCTCTTTATAGTTTGCACCTGCCCCAAAGCCTCTCGCTCTGTTTTAAAAGACGTGAAATGGGGTCTCCTGTGCCCTAACTGCAAGCGACTCCCTCTCATTTCAGCAGGGAAATGCTGGGAAGATGAACAGCAGTTTGAGATGGTAATGTAGTGCTTTGGGATTTGCAGTGCCCTTTTTTAAAAAAGGTAATAAAGCCTGGGGAACTAATGGATCTGTACTGCTGGTAGAGGGACAACATGGGGTACCTGAGGAATTAAAGTAGTTGAATTAGGTTTAGGTCCTACTGCTCCAAAAGGAATTGGCAGAAGGAGGCACATAGAGCATGAAACAAAATTGAACAGTTGGAGCTAGCCTAAAGAAGACTTAAGTTGAAGAAGAGTTTAAATTACATGTGATAGGTAGTTGGCAGTCTTTGAAGCTTCTCTTGAAACTCTTTGAAAGTAGAGTTCTAGAAATGAATCTGGCAGTCGAATGCAAGACAGATCTAAAAGGAAAGAGTTGGGTAGCAGGGAAACCAGCTGAGATGCCAGAGTCTGGGTGATCAGTAGTGAAATCATGCCCCATTCATTGGTCTTTTCCCCCTACAGAGTACAAATATTTGAGTTTGAGTTACGAGTTATCCACGTCAAGATCTACCGTTCGTAGCTGACGTTGAGTCCAGTGACATTTTTTTTAAATCCTCATACCTAGCACATAGTAACCTCACAAATATTTGTTAGATGGCTCAAGTGCATCATGGACATGTTAGATGATTCTGAACACTGAAGTGCCCTATTTCTGTCAGTTTTTTAACCTGAAGAATGAAAGCAGTGGTAAATACACTTGTAGAGTTGGAAAGAAGTTGTTTATGTAACAGAATAGGTGATCTGCACATAAATGCAAAGAATTCCAAAGAATATTGAGAAATTAGCCGTGTTTCTCCTGTCGTCGTCCCCCCCCATTCACATATAGGACATAGATCTATAAAATTTGAGATATTCCATCCTAAAAGAACTAGTGCTTTTTACTGATATGCTCCAGAACCCCAGTTCTAGTTTCACTAGACAGTTGTAGGTCGCTTGTCACTTAGTTACAAGAAGGCTCCTTTTCCAAGAACTGTGAATCTTAGACATCAGGAATAAGTTCAGATTAATGCAAGCCTATTTTGGGTACAAGACTTTTATGGTTTGGGTGATAGTGCTGGGAGAACCTCTTCCTACCTTCACTTCTAATGGCATTCAAGAAACAACACTTTCAGAATAGGCCGTCTGTGTCAAGAAACAAAATGAAGGACCAACTCAGATGTCATTGCTAATAACACACAGTTTGTGTACTTGGGTTTCAGGTTAAGCTAAGGCACGCACACGCTAGAGTGTGTGAGAATAGAAACACTCTTTTCTGAAGAAAGAACTTTTTGGTTTTTCTTGCTGAAACTTTGCAAGAAAAATTTATAGAATTCAAAGGTTTTGTTTGTTACTATTTTATAGCCTCAGTCAACTTCCTTAATCTTTTGCCTATGAGCCTCTTGGTACTTAAGAGCTGCCCGCTTAAGTGTAAAGAATTTATGCAAATATCACGTTTGTTTTTCCTTTTTAAAATCTCTATATTGCCTTCTTCCTCCTTCACTGGATGCTATTTTAGGCATTGATTCTCTTGTGTGTTAAGGGGTGGGGGAGGGGAGTTCTGCTGCTGCTAGGTATTGAACCTGAGACCTTCCATATTGCAAGGCAGCACTTTACCACTGAGATAGTGTATATCCCCAGGTCCTTCTTTTTTCTACTTCTGCACCAATCTCACATTGTCTTTTTAGTTGAGGATGCCTCTTGTCTGAACTGTTGCTCAGTACAAGGAAAGAAATTCCATTAGTGGGTCTTCTTTGTTACAGGATAAAGCTTTTTTCAAATGTGGCATATATTTATATAGATTTTGATGTTACAATATATGCCCTCGACATAGTTATTTAAAGAAGAACTTGACAGTTTGCTTTTAAGGATATTTTCTTCTGTGCAAGAACAGAAAGGTTGTCTTAGTATTTCACAAACACAAACAAGGAATGAAGGAACTTATGTTTAAGTTTCATAAATTTAAGGTTGATTAATTGCATAAGTTGTGGCTCCTCAATGATTTTCTAGTTGCAAATTAACCAAAGATCCTATTTCCCTGAAGAGCAGGAAGTACTTGAACTTTGTTTTATGGTTTTAGATTCAAAGAAGCAATTAGCAGGAACTCTGGGGTGTCCCAGAAAGTGCAATTTTGGGAGCCAGGAGGCCTGGGGATTAGTCCTGTTTCAGTTGGTATGAACTTGAGCAAGTATTTGAGTTTCAGGTTTTTGTCATTTAGATCTTTACAGCTCTAAAACTCCTGTGAAACAAAGATTTTTCGAAGGACACTGCAATACTTTAACAGTGGAATTTATTTCAGACTTAAGTCAAATGCGTTTAGCATTGACGCAGAGAATCTGGATTGTACTCCAGTTCCCCAAATTTAACTGTATGCCACTGAGCTAATATTTATATTTGGAATTGACCTTGTTGAACATTGAATGGTGTTGAATAATCCTTAAGATTTCCTAAGTGGGCTGGGGGGGAACAGATAGAAAAAATATTAGGGGGCTGTGGATATAGCTTAGTCGAAGAACATATTTGAGACCTTGGTTTCAATTGCTGCACCAGGAAAAAAAAGGTGAGAAAACAGTAATGGAGACCTGTAACATGGGTATTAGTTCTTTTCCCATACCAAATTTAAAGAAATTTCATTTTGCTATTGCATCTCATACTTAGCTTTTATGTAGTGATCAATACAGGTCTACCTTAAATCAGTTCTCAGACTTTTTTCATTTTGTGACACATGTGGAAATCATTGTATCGCTGGTAAAAGCTGGAGGTGGGCCACAGAGGACAATTTGCCTAAGCACTCTGGCCATCCCCAGTCTCCCTCTGACAGCAGGCACCAGAGGCCGAGGAGAGACACCCTACCTTGAAACCTGTCTAACCTTTAGGAAGCTCATCTCTGCACATCCAAGGCATTTGTCCCAAACTCTGCCTAGCTATGAAAAGAAACTGTATAATGGTTATTTTTGTTAAATCAGTGTCTTAATTGGATTTACATTTATGTACCTGTATACTCTTGGCTTGTTTATAAAGGTCCTAACCTGTCCTTACACGGTGGCCTGTTTAAAAGTATGTAAATAATAGATGATAAAGAGTTAAGAAATACTTTTGCTATGATATTACTGTCTTTGTTTTTGTTTTGGTTTTGAGACTGGCTCTCACTATGTATTTCATACTGGACTTTAACTCACTAAGTAGCCCAGGCTAGCCTGAAACTCTCAGCCATACTCGGGCCTCAGGCTCCCCAAGTGCAAGGATTACAGGCATGCACCACCACACCTGGCTCAGCCATGGTGTTTTGACTCCATTAGATTGTAGGTGACCTTGTTGAGGCCTATTTATGGAAAATTAAGAACACCCAGAGTCAAAGATCATCGTACAAATAATATATGCAGTTTTTAGTTTATTTTGTATGTTTCATTATAAAAGTAACACTTAAAGAAAATATGAAAAATACAAAAAAAGAATGGAAAAAATCATTTGTAGTTCTGTTTTCCAAATAATGTTAATATCATGGTTTTTCTCCACTCTTTTTTATGTACACTTTTTTCATTTATGGAAATTTTCAAACATTTGCAGAAGCAGAGAAACTTTTCTTATGAAGCCTATGTACTCACCAGCCAGCTTCTACAGTTAACCCTGGGCCTATCTTGTTATACATCCTATACCCCAGCTTTGCCTCCCAGATGGTTTTGAATCAAATCCTAAACATACTCATTTGTAAACACTTTACTGTCAATTTATAAATGATAAAGACTTGTGGGCCAGGGATTTAGCTCAGTGGTTCTGGCGCCTGCCTCGCAAGCGCAAGGTCCTGAGTTCGATCTCTGGTACCAAAAAAAAAAAAAAAAAAAGATAAAGACTTGTTTTTAATATAACCACCATACCATTATCACACCTTCAAAAAATATATTCCTTAATGTCACCAAGCAACTAGTCAGTGTACAGATTTTCCTGTTTGGCCTTTTTTAAACAGTTGCAAAGTGTGATGTGAGATCCAAGAAAGATTCCACATCATCATACACTTTCTTTTTTTTCCCAGTATCAGGGATCGAACTCAGGACCTTTCGCTTGCGAGGCATGTGTAGTGCCACTGAGCTAAATCCCTGGCCCTTCATCATACACTTTCAATTAGAGGAGAAATACAAAATGGGCATACAGAGGAGACGTATAGTCTATAAACCTTGTGAATGTCAGAATCTAGTGGCTAAGACCTTGCACTTTGGAATCAGACTGGGTTTCAGATCCTAGCTCTGCCACTTACTAGTTGTGTAACCTGTAGCTTTACTTCACCTCTCTCACTTTAATATTTTTAATTAATTTTTGGTGTTGAGGATTGAACCCAG